GAAATGGTGTCGAATCTCATTACAAAACGGGGGATCACGTGGCTAAGTGGGTAAGACGATGGCTCGCTAGCCTGGAGGTCGGGTGTTCGATCCCTGCATTGGCCGAGAAAGTTCATCCCGATTTTCCGGCGTGGTTTCCCCTTGTCAGTGAGGCAGGACGGAGGGCCTGACAAGGACAGCTGTCTAGTCCTTCGGATGAGACAAAAAACTGAGGTCCCGTGTATATATTGGAATGCACGTAAAAGATCCCTTGGCATTTGGAATTCGATATAAGAGTAGGCGATAGTGCTGCTGCCCGGGCAAAATTTTCCTCATAGCACACTCTATGGCATATGCCCGTCTTCATTAGCCCAGGTTAGGAGCAGAACAGTAGGACGTTAAACCCCATTTCATTTCATTCATTTCATTACAAAACAGTAAACTAATTTTTGGATATGACAGCCATTTTGGGCAGAGATCTAAATGTATCTTGAAGCATGAAGTAGATGGATTGCTATGTGCAGAATGCAACATCTCATCTGAGGAGTTTATTTAGCCAACCTATTTTAATTTTATATCAGGCCCCGAGTTCACAAAGCATTCTCAGACTTAAGTTGAGAATTTGCTCAACTTTCAATCACTGTTTATGAGAAATATCTTTGATGCAGAAACACAAAACTTTGCACATATTTTCTTATTGATGTATCTGATACATTCACACGACAAAATTATTATAAAGGGCTAAATTTTAGTTAAAACAAGCCAACAGTGAGGCTGATGTCCCCCGCCGAAATAGGAAAATAATTAGAGAGTTATTGTGTTCCAAAGTCTCAGCAAATCAAATTGCTTATCGCTCTGCTTAATCTGAGCAGAAAATGCTCATTATCGATCTTAGTCAAGGTATTACTGTAATGAAACTATACACCAAGTTTCATCACTCTCACTTAATTAGAACTAAAGTTATAGTGTCCCAAAGCATCAACCAATCAAATTGTTTATCTCTGCTTACCCTAAGCGGAACGGACAGACAAACAGACAGACGGACGAACCCATTTTAATAGTTCCCTGCTTTCTTCGAAAGGCGGGGGACAATAAGCATGAACATTTACTCAATTCGAAGATCAACCAATCAAATTGTTTATCTCTGCTTACCATAAGCGGAACGGACAGACAGACAAACAGACAGACGGACGAACCCATTTTAATAGTTCCCTGCTTTCTTCGAAAGGCGGGGGACAATCAAAGTAGGAGAGTTATTGTTTTCCAAAGTCTCGACCAATCAAATTGCGTATCGCTCTGCTTACCCTGAGCAGAAAATGCTCATTATCAAACTTAGTCAAGGTATTACTGTAATGAAACTATACACCAAGTTTCATCAATCTCACTTAATTAGAACTAAAGTTATCGTGTCCCAAAGCATCAACCAATCAAATTGCTTATCTCTGCTTACCCTAAGCTGAAAATGCTCATCTTCGAACTCCATCAAGGCATTGACCTAATAAACACATACACCAAGTTTGAACATTCTAGCTGAATTAGGAAGAGAGTTATCGTGCCCCAAAGTATCAACCAATCAAATTGCTTATCTCTGCTTACCCTAAGCGGAAAATGCTCATCTTCGAACTCCATCAAGGCATTGACCTAATAAACACATACACCAAGTTTGAACATTCTAGCTCAATTAAAAGTTATCGTGTCCCAAAGCATCAACCAATCAAATTGCTTATCTCTGCTTACCCTAAGCGGAAAATGCTCATCTTCGAACTCCATCAAGGCATTGACCTAATCAACACATACACCAAGTTTGAACATTCTAGCCCAATTAGGAAGAGAGTTATCGTGTCCCAAAGCATCAACCAATCAAATTGCTTATCTCTGCTTACCCTAAGCGGAAAATGCTCATCTTCGAACTCCATCAAGGCATTGACCTAATAAACACATACACCAAGTTTGAACATTCTAGCTCAATTAGGAAGAGAGTTATTGTGTCCCAAAAAGTGTGACGGACAGACAGACGGACAGACAGAAGGACAGACAGACGGACAGACAGACAGACAGACAGACAGACAGACAGACAGACGGACGAGCCCATTTTAATAGTCCCCTGCTTTCTTCGAAAGGCGGGGGACAATAAGGAGAACAAGTTTGAGTAAATTCTCAACTTAAATCTGAGAATGCTTAGTGAACTCCGGGCCGGGTCTCTTAGTTATATAATGGTCTGGAACGACAGTAGGTAAGCTTACATTGTAGCCCCGCTGCCCCCCCCCCAACTACACATTTTGATCTTGGCCAAACTGTAAATTTATTAAACCAAAGAGAGAGAGAGAGAGAGAGAGAGAGAGAGAGAGAAATGGGATTTAACGTCCACTCGACACAAACTAGGTCATTTCGGGACTAACACATGGTTTAATTTTATCTTAATAATTCGCTTACGCGTAGGGGTCTTTAGCAGTGGGAGGAAACCGGAGAACCCAGAGAAAACCCACGAGGTTGGACAGGTGACCCTACTCCTTGCCACGTACAACCGGGGATTCGGAACCACGCCAGTTGACTCAATGACAGGCTTTATGGTACAGCGCGCACGTGCTAACCATTCAGCCATCCAACCCCCCGATTAAACCAAAGACCGAAGACCCAACAAATTTTACACAAATCAAAAATAACTAACAACTGCCCCAGAAATTGACACAAATGGGTCGCAATGCATATAACAATGTAATATGAATGTATATTAACTGATTTACATTCAATTGTTTCAGTTTTTACTCTAATTTCAAATCAGTTATGTTCAGCGAAATATGCCAGAAGCTCCAATCAAGTGACAATCTCTAGCGTTTGGTTGTTCCAGTCTATATAGTATTTTTGTGCATGCTCTCCAGATGAGAATATGACGTCACCGTTTGACATGACTTGTGGAATATGTCTAGCCTCGTTCTTCGAGTCCCTTGTTAGAAATGGGACTGAAATGCATTATGGTACAAGATGCATGTACCAATTGTAAAATGTTTATTTTGTCTTAAATATTGGACATCAGAAGCCCATCTTTTCCCAGTAAGATCACAACATCAATGTTGATTTAAATTGACAAATAAATGGTGTTTTCAATGTCGAAGACTTTGGATGATATTGAGTTAGAGACTTGGCTACTTTAATGACTACATGTATAACTAACTACATCATGTATCAATCACAAAGGTAAAATGTGCACATAAATGTACCACAGTAATAAACTATTCACACTCTAATTCAAAAACTGTAGATCAACAAAATTCACACAAATCAACAAAACAACTGCCAATCCTTAATCACTACATGTAACTAACTATATCAATCACAAAGGTAAAAAACGTGCATCTAACAGTAATAAACAGTTTACACTCTTGACTATAGGGTAACCTGCACGAGAGAAATGTAACATGCAACCGTTTGTATCGTCTATTAATAAGAAAACGTGACACCTTTCTCTGTAAATACATGCAAATTGGCAATAAACCAAAATTACCACACATTGTAGGCTAAAAAACGTATTTGCAATTGTTGCTGTTTATTTACTTGTTAAAGTAAAAGATTCACTTGTTAAATGAGATTTACCGATACTGCATGTGCTATTAAAAAAAAAAAAAAAGGCGAGACCTGACCTATGTGTGAAATCAGCGTATACTATGTCGGCTTCTAAAATTAAGATGACCGAGAAAAGGGGATGGAAAAGGGGTAGACCAACTGATATGGGGTAAAATTGAAATAAAATTGAACCATATGTTAGTCCCAAAATGACCTAGTTTGTCACATGTGCTAGGAAGAGATTACTCAAAACAGAGTACCTGGCTACCATTAGAGAATTAGCCACCTGTTTTAATGGAAGAGTACCATAACAGAGCGCCATTAGAGAATTAACCACCTGTTTTATTGGGAGGTCATGGAATTCAAATGATTACTATACCAGCTGTGAGAAAACACACAACCAACTGGTTAATATACCAACATAACTCAACCATGAGGTGTACATTACAAATTTAGTTCACAGGCAATTAAATAACCAGTAACAGTTAAACCCCCAGACAGTAGACAGACCATCTCCTTTCTGCCACACTAATCATGAACATTCTTTTAAGTTCATTCACAAGAATGGTGGCTTTTTGATTATCTGCTTGAGTGACAATACAATAGAAGCCTTGCAGAAACATAGCAAATATCGTGGTTTTCTAAATGTATCCCCTACTCTCAATTTTCCCAAGAAAATTCACTAAAAACCCTGACCCACTTGGTCACATTTGTACAAGCAGGTGTAGGAATACAGTTAATGTAATAACATGTAAACACATGTACCATTAAAATTAGCTTCACCATTTAGACAAATTTTGTGTATTTTGTATATTCTGGATTTTTGAATATCATGCAGCTCATGTTTTTCATGCATGTATTGTATCACTTTTTGAATAATTTGTTTTAATTGTAGTATAGTATATTTGCATCCTTCATATTGAATAATTTGTTTTAATTATAGTATAGTATATTTACTTCCTATATTTTGAACATCTTGTTACTATGCTGTATTTTGAGTATTCAACATGTACAGGTTTTCTTCAGTATGTTTATTTGTGTAATGCACATTCTAATATTGTATTTGTAACTTGTAAGTGCTTAACTTGTATATTCTGAATCAAAGGAATTCTCAGCAGTTTATGTCTATTTGTATAATCTTGTGTATTCTGTTTCTTGTGTGTATTCTGCTACTTGTGTATTCTGTGTATTCTGTTAATTGTGTATTCTGTATATATTCTGTGACTTGTGTATTCTGTGACTTGTGTATTCTGTGACTTGTGTATTCCACATTCTGTGTATTCCACATTCTGTGTATTGACAGTTGTGTATTAATATAGTTTGCGATGCCATCTCCAAATGTGATTAATGCAAAATGGATACCTGTATCTAACAAACATCAAAACTTAACTGAATCTGTTCACATGTGATAAACATGTAGACTAGATATTGATGCTGTTCATTATAATTTAAAAGGATACACTTTCAATACTCCAGATTTAGATCCAACGGCCAGTAGACGAAGTTTGGGGTCGTAGGCCATAGCACTTGGTTTACTGATGAATCCATGATCAGTACACTGAAATAAATAAAAATAAAGTTTAAAAAAATTATTTAACATCTTCCATTATTTGAAAGAATGAGAGAGAAATGGAGTTAAATGTCCACTCAATACAAACTAGGTCAACATATGGTTCAATTGTATTTCAATAATTCGCTTGCGCATAGGGGTCTTTAGCAGTGGGAGGAAACTATTCATATAGTTATGTCCCTGTATTATGTAGTATAATGAATTGTGTCTGGGTAGTTCGAGAAGAAAATTTCACACAGAGAATTCAGTTTTCTTTATAAAAATTTTATTTGACATTTTATACACGTTCGATTTTAATTAGCACCAGACATATGTTTCGCAAATTGAGGTGCGATACTGGTTGTCGGCAGCCCTGAACATGACATCTACCACCGTTATATTTATGTCTTGGTTAAATAATCAATTCCGAGTGCATTTTAGCACAGATTAAAGTAGCCAAGTCTCTAACTCAGCATCACCCACAGTCTTCGACATTGAAAAGTCAAATTATTTATAAATTCAAATCAACATTGATTTTGTGATCTTACCAGGAAAAGATGGATTTCTGACATCCAATATTTAAGACAAAGTTAACATTTTACAATTGGTACACGAATCAGCGCACGAATCGCGCATTAGAATGTGTTTAAGCTCCATTTGTAACGAGGCACTCGAAGAATGGGGCTAGGCATATTCCACAAGCCATGACAAACGATGACGCCATATTCTTTCCAGGAGAGCATGCGCAATAAATACTACAGGTCTAGACTGGAATAACCAGATGCTCGAGACTGCCATTCGATTCATATTTGGCCGAACATAAATATTTGGAATTAAGAGTAAAAACGGAAACAAATGAATGTAAATCAGTTTATAAACATTCATATTACATTATTAGATGCGAACCATTTGTGTCAATTTCTTGTCATTATTATAATTTCAGTAATATAAAATACTGAAACACTCAGGTAAATAATTTAATTACATAAAAAAAGGGAGGCATTGGAATCTTTAATACCAATTAATATGGCTGTTTCATTCAACAAAAATAAATCTGTTTCATCTCTTTCTTGGCTCTTTTATTATTGCTACTAAGAATCTGCTAATAGCCCCGTTAAATGTAAACATCAACCTGTCTCCGCAGGGGTCAACAGATAGAATACCTAGTATTGTTTAGAAAACTAGGGAATTCCATGAATAAAACAACCGGTGCATGTTAAACATCAACACACTGTTCAGTGTTTGTTCAACATGAACGACTATTGTTCGATTTCAAAACGTGCATTCGGTCAACCGTTCACAAAAACCCGGGCCAAAATATGCACGTTTAAATTTTTGAGACTTTGTTTACACAGTTCTCGAGCTTGAACCAGACATGGCAGTCGCCGTAAGATTTCCCATTATTTGTGTTATGAACGACGTTGGTTTTCGTAATGAGTCATCGAGCGTCTATCCAAAATGGCTGCGTCGTGTCAATTTATACACAAAGATAAGAATGGGTTATAAGAATCGTTTGAATCGAGATAAAGAAACCACAAATTACCTTCTTAAAACCGAAAAGTTCCTTCTTCAATTTTTCTCTTTCCTCCCCCTCCTTCGGAGGATGTTTCTTGAAAAATTTAAACATTTTATAAACTCCAGAATGGACCGGGGATTCTGCAAAAATAAATATACATTTTTAAGCTTTGAAAAAAACAAGCACTCGTAATAACAACATCCACGCTCTACTTTGAAAACGAAAACAATGACAACATTACCGATTCGCTGTTCAAATCAAGGCAATTCGTCAACAAAAAACGTGCTGCATGTCGCCGTGCCAGCGAAAGCAGACAGACAAAAGTACGTGCGTTTGTAGGACTGCTAATAAAGTGTTATTTATGTATTACTAAACTGACTACTTACTGTAATTGCTAAATGTAGATCCTTGGGTAATAAATGGTCGTTTATCTGTGACTTAGCCAACAGGCGTATCACATGTATGCACCAATGATAGTTCAACGGCGCGCCAATGGCTTCGTGGTTGAGAATGCTCCAAACAGCTGTATTACACAAAACTACCGTATCCTTCCGCTTAACAGGTACCCGTCTCAAAAATTTATTTTCGTGTGTATGGAAGTATTGTCATATAGCAAAGACAACTCGATTAAACAGATACCAGTCATGCAAGTCATTTATACCGTTAGTAAAATAATTAAATTAAACTTTAAAGAGATAAATTTCAAAAAGCGCACTATTTCTTCAGCGTTTAATTTCAATATAGCGTAAGAAGCGTGAGAGAACTGTTCGTGTAGTAAATGTTACTCATCCAATGAAATGAAGCTGTTTTCAGCATGCTGGGTCGCTTTCACCTGAGGACTTACGCTAATGATATCGTCACCGGAACAATGGGGACTCATCAAAATAAAATGTTAGATAAGGGATGGTTAATTCGAAACTAGTGTCACATATATTTTTAACGTTCGATCCTCAATGGAAGGCTGATAAATATTTCATTGAGACAGTTTTCGTATTAGCCCATTTCATCTATCTACATTACTGGGACACTGGGAGCGTTTCTTTTGTCAACGGGACAATAGTCACACCTGTAATTGGACAAAAAAAATTATTTTTTTGTTTACATGGTCATAACAGTTTAAATATTTCACACAATAAACAAGACTGGTAGGCTATTGGTTTTGATTTAAGTTTTAGCGCCGTACACGTGCCCCCATTACCCCGGCTACATCTAGGCCCTATTTCTTAAGGCCAACTCAAGATTTAGTCTTTCGATCTCCCGGTTGTACGTGACAAGGAGTAAGGTCGCCTATCCGATCCAACCTCGTGGGTTTTCTCCCGGTCCTCCGGCTTCCTTTCACTCATAATAAACCCTACGCGCAATCGAATTATTGAAATAAAATTGAACCATGTGTTTGTCTCGAAATGACCTAGTTTGTGTCGAGTGGACGTTAAACACTCCCTCTCCCTCTCTCTCTCTCTCTCTCCCTCTCTCAAGATTTATTCAAGGTCGCTGAGATGTAAATAAGGTTAGGGAACGTGATTGTTGGCGAGATACTAGGTTAGGGTTAGGGTGAACGTTAAGGGTAGGTCCAGAGTTAGGATTTGGGTTGGGATTAGTCCAGCCCTTTTAACATCTCGTGACCCTTGACCAAACTTGAAATTAGCCTTATGAAATAGATCTAACCTCATTACCCCTCTTAGGACTGGCCCAGTTTCTTCCAAACTGATAGGGAGCCACGGTGGCTAGGTGGTTAAGACGCTGGCTCGCTATCCTGGAGGTCGGATGTTCGATCCCTGCATTGACCGAGAAAGTTCATCTGAATTTTCCGACGTGGATTCCCCTTGTCAGTGGTGCAGAGCGGAGGGCCTGACAAGGACAGCTGTCTAGTCCTTCGGATGAGACGAAAAACGGAGGTCCCGTGTATACATTAGAATGCACGTAAAAGATCCCTTGGCAGTTGGAATTCGATATAAGAGTAGGCGATAGTGCCGCTGCCCGGGCAAAATTTCCCTCATAGCACACTGTATGGCGTATGCCCGTCTTCATTAGCCCAGTATAGGAGCAGAACAGTAGGACGTTAAACCCCATTTCATTTCCAAACCGATACGTTTCAGCATTTTTTGTGCTATTACTTTTTAAAGAACACCAAGAGAAGTAGTAAATATTTTTTGTACGTGAGTTACGTGAAAATTAAAAAAAAATAAACTGCCCGGGCTGTGCCGTTCGTGACATTCTATTCTCACATTTTGAACCTTAAACACCAAATAAAATAGTCCTACGCTGGGTGGGTGGTGCGCGACACGCCTAGTGTTGTAAATGGTACAATTTGTCGCGTTTCTGGCGAACCGACAAAATCTGATATAATATTAAGTATTATATTGAGAATTATGCGTTTGTAATTTGGGTTCTGTTGTTATCTCTGTAACCATCAAATAATAACATTTATGTAAATGGTGTTCGGTGTCCTGATGTATAATATACATCATTTGTGATAAATGAATGTTATTATTTGATGTCCACAGATATAACTCTCTCTCTCTCTCTCTCTCTCTCTCTCTCTCTCTCTCATTTCGTCTAGAGTCATTATTTTGTAAACTGAGTAGAGTGGTGAAACATTAAGACATGCAGCACATAAGACAGATCGATACACATGTACAAATATAAACACATTAGAATTTTAGTTATTGGTTAAATATCACATAATGTGTTTGTTTGGAGACGACATGTCTCAAATCATGGTATTTCATTACGTCTGGAAAAGAAAAAAACGAAATTTGCCAGGGCAGGGTCGTTTCTGATTCATGATGCTGCACGGTGTTGGGGCATTTCGTAGCTTCACTTTTACTGAAATATATTACCCGTTCATTTGATTGATAAAAACGAGAGTATTCTCGTCGAAACGTCGCTTAGTATTAAAGATACGTTATGGGAGATTCGATAACGAGTTGGCAGTTCTCACTATCATAGTTAAATACTAGATAATGTAAAGGCAATTTGCTGAAAATTTCATTCAAATTGATCCACGATGAACCGAGAACTAAGCGTTTGAAATTTCCGCCTAGCCCCTATCATCATTACTAAAGTCAGTACGATAAACAGCATAGTCTCGATTATCAATTTAATTGTTAAATCGTGAAGGAAAGTTATGCAGTAAATCGGCTCATAATCCACTTAGGATCGCAGGCTAGCGATGTCATCTAGAGTTGATTATGGTCTGGACAGGTTAATTAATGTCTAATTAATAATTTAGATAACATTTCAGGCCTAAAGAAAGACCTTCAATAGGCAGATTTAGCTCTTGTATAATGTATGTTTAAACTCAGTATCCATAAAATTGTACCGTGTGTTAATATTACCCTTTCATTACCTGAAATACAATATTGACGATGCCAAAACGTTTTTTTTTTTATTTATTGAGATTTATAGACCAAATGTGTGCCATTCCTTTCTATTTAATGCATTTGCATTAAAGGTGAATTATGGGAGATTAGATAAAGAGTTAACACTTCTCGCTAAAATAGTTGAAAAATATGCTGAAAATTTCACTCAAATTGCTCCACCCAGAACCGAAATATTAGCTTTCGAATTTTAGACTAGCCTCGATCATCATTACTAAAGTACATGCAATAAAAAAAAGTCTCAATTATCCAAGTGTACGTTTAATTATTTAAAAAAAATAAATCCGCTAAATATCGCGGGTTGGCTATGGCATCGAGAGTTGATTATGGTCTGGATAAGTTAATGTCTAATCATTAATTTAGATAAAATTTCAGGCCTAAAAAAAGACCTGCATTAGGCAGATTTACCTCTTGTATAATGTATGTTTAATCACCGTTATTTCCCCACCCTATATAAGTATACATATATTTCCAACAATATTTATTCAATATTTACATATTATAAAAATAAATATTTAATTATGGGATCTGAAAACAAGTTGGAGCTTATATAAATCCATTTCCCGTAATAAATTATTTACAAACATATATATACATTGTGTATAATTATAATCACGATTTAGTTTGCTCCGAACTGGGCTAATAAAGACGGGAATACGCCATACAGTGTGCTATGACTGGACAGCGGCACTACCACCTACTCTTATATCGAATTCCATCTGTCAAGGGATCTTTTGCGTGCACGCCAATGTGTACACGGGACCTCGGTTTTTCGTCCCATCCGAACGACTAGACAGCTGTCTTTGTCAGGCCCACTGACGAGGGGAACTACATGTACGCCGGAAAATCTGGATGAACTTTCTCGGCCAATGCAGGGATCGAACACCCGACCTCCAGACTAGCGAGCCAGCGTCTTACCCACTTAGCCACCGTGATCCCCGAAAGTCAAGTCTAAAACCTTGAACAGGAAACGAAAAGCATGTGAAGTGGGAAGGCGTTACTTAGTTGACAGTCGGGTATAACTATCATTAATTAGTGTATATTAACCTCCCATTGCCTAAAACACAATATTGACGATACTGAAACGTTGTTTTTTCATTGATTAATATGGTTAGCGCATGCGCATTGTATCATAAGGTCTATCATTGAGTCAAATGGCGTGGTTTCGATTCCCCGGCTGTACGTGACAAGGAGTACGTGTCCAAACTCGTGGGTTTTCTCCGGGTCCTCCGGTTTCCCCCACTGCTAAAGACCCCTACACGCAAGCGAATTATTGAAATAAAATTGAACCATTAGTCCCGAAATTACCTAGTTTGTGTCGAGTGGACGTTAATCTCTCTCTCTCTCCCTCTCTCTCTCTCTCTCTCTCTCTGTAATACTGAAAGCTATTCATATATTTTGAGTGGTTTGAATCTAAGAATCTGCAGTTTCATTATATCCAGGGATATACGGGTATTAATATATCACTTTTCTCTAATTTTCTTTAAGGTTCTGGAGTAATCAATATTTACATGTAACAAGTGGTAAAGGGTTTTATTGATGAGGCTGGGGTGGTTTGTATCTAACAGTATTTGGAGTCAATTTTCTTCCACCTCGTTCACTCCATCTCCATCTCTTGACAGTTATATGCAGTTTTATTTGACGCAAGAATTTACATAACTCTGGGTGTTATCTCGGTACTTAAAGATACATTATGGGAGATAAAATAAAGAGCTGGCAGTTCTCACTATAATAGTTTAAAAACAAGATAATGTAAAGGGAATTTGCTGAAAATTTCAGTCCAATTGTTCCACTCTGAAGCGAGATTTTAGCGATTGAATATTGGGACTAGTCCCGATCATCATTACTAAAGTCGGTAAGATAAAAAAAACATAGTCTCGATTATCCATTATGAATGGAAGTCGTACAGCAAAATCGGAACCTAATCCAATAAACATCGCAGGCTAGCGATGCCACCGAAAGTTGATTATGGTCTGGATATGTTAATTAAGGTCTAATTAATAATTTAGATAACATTTCAGACCTAAAGAAAGACCTGCAATAGGCAGATTTTGCTCTTGTATAACGTATGTTTAAGCAAATTTAGCGTTAGTAATTATTTAAAAGGATTGGTGTCTATAATTAAAATAATCCAGTTGATGATTAAGCGAAGTCCATAAAGTCAGACACAGTA